CCTAGACCTCCCTGCCACTGGCCTGCCCTGCCTAGACAACTGCCAGCAAAAGGGTGTGCCTGACCCTCATGCCCCTGCCCTCAGGCCAGGAGACATGTAGGGTCCTACCCTGCCGCCCTCCCCAACCCTGCCCCCTTCCCTGCCCCACCATAATTGTGACCTGGGCAGGGTAGCTGAGTCCTCTCTTTTTTGGGGGGAGGGAGAGAAGGGTAGGAGGTAAGCCCTAGCTCACACTACCAAGACAGTCTGTGCTGAGCCTCATTTGTGGGGTACTACCCTCCTGAGACTGAAGTCCCCCTTGTTTCCTCTTTTTCAGTCCGTTGGAGACCCCATGGTCCATCCTTCTATTGCCACTACTCAAGTGGCCGTTGAGGCTCCCATCCCACTGGATGCCCTTCCTGCCATAGAAATGGCCAAAAAGGACACACGGCCAGACAGGGCTCCTTGTCTGCGCCCCTTCTCCCTACGAGTTGCCCCGAAGAGCTCTTGGGAGAAAGAATTGCATAGCACTTCTTAGCAAGCGATAATAAGAATGTAGACCCTGTCCCTCTCGGTCCCTACAAGCTAATTTATTGGATTCCTGTTTGTAGTCTTCTTGATTGCCAATGTGAACACCCTGCTGGCAGGGGAGGCAGCCCGGGCTGTGGTCCTTCCACAGGTGGCCCAGCATCTGAACCAGCCCCAATGAGCCTGTTGCCCCACCAGCCTACACTGCCAGCTACCACCAGGGGGGGCCCAGGCCAGCCAGAGGGGGAGATGGACACTGTGCTGCCTCAGGAGTGTGGGCACCAGTGTTCCCACCTCAGTGCCAAAGAGGGGTCAGCCAGGGAAGCTGTCTCTGCAAAGCTAGCTCCTGCCCGAGAGGGAGACCCCACTGCCGTCGTGTGCCTTCCAAGGGTGGAGGGGGGCTCAGCCCTTGGGCCAGGAAGCCTCCCTCAGTCCCTCAGTAAAAACCTCCCATGGAAAGTGTGTTCTTGCCTCCTGGCCTCTTTGTCTGGCCTGGCTTGTGGGAGACAGGGATGGACAGCGGGGTGCCTGGGAGAGAAGGAATAACCTCAGCCCCCACACTTCACCTGGAGACACAGCTCAGCACATTCTGTGGCTGACATGGTGGTGGGAGGTGGATTCAGCAACAGCATCTCATAAAAATATTGGCTGAGCCCAAATTATTGGCTGAGGACTCTAGACCAAGCCTAGACCCAGTGTGGGGTGAGGAGGAGGGTACCGGTGGTGGGTCCCTGCATGAAGAGCTTCCAGAGAGAATATGGAGAGAGCAGTGAGCTGCAAAGTGGGCTGGTTGGGGGAACATGGAGAAGGAAGGGTCCTGAGAGCCTGGCAAGGGACAGTGGGGAAAGCGCTCCTCGGACTTCCAGTAAGGAACATTTGTGAAAAGGACCGGGAATGATCAGGAGCAAGACACGGAACATGGATGCTGAGGGCAGGGGAGGGGAGCCAGGGCCACCCCGAGGAGCCTGAACTCATTCCGGAGGCAACAAGAAGCCACTGAAAAATTTTCAGCAGGATGGAAACCACATAGAGTTATGCTTAAAGCAGGCCGTGTGAGGGGTTGTTTGGAGAGAGGCACAGCACTCTGAAAAGAATGAAATTCTGATCTGACCTGTGCTACAACATGGGTGAACTGCAAAAATGTGATGCTGATTGAGTGGAAGAGGCCAGTCACAAAAGACATATATCATTTGAGTCCATTCATATGAAATGTCCAGAATAGGCAAATCCACAGAGACGGAAAGGGGATGGATGGGTGCCAGGGGAGGTGAGAAATGAAGACTGACTGCTAATGGGTACAAGGTTTCCTTTATGTGAATTTCACCTCAAAACATAGATGATAGATTGATTGCTTGACGATAAAGGATAGATTGATAGGTAATAGAGAGAGAGACGTATATGAGCAAACACACCACCTAAAGCAGCCCAGACAAGACATGCTGAGGCCCGAAGTCCTGGACAGATCAGAAAGAGATCAGAAAAAAATCAACAGGCATGGGGGTGAGGGGTCAGACACTGAGGGGAGGGGGAAAGTCAAGATGACCTCTGGGTTCTAGCTTGAGCAGTCTGATGGGTGATGGCACCCTTCAGTTTGGAAAGAAGCCATCATCTAGTTAGCACTTGCTGGGTCTGCGCCTGCAGCCCCCTGAGAAAGGATGAGTAGGGAGTAGGCAGTGTGGATGAGCTCTAGCCTGCAGATCCGCTGAGGGGGCAGCTGGGAGCATGGGCTGGCAGAGTCAGGTGGTGGTTGAAGATCTGCGTAGACAGCCTGGGGGAAAGGGGCTTGGTCTGGGGAGGGGGACGGTGAGAGGTAGATGGCATTTTATCCAAATGTGGAGGTTAGGATTTGTTCATGACTCCGGGGAGGCAATGAATCAAATGGTGGGGGTTGTTGAGCTGCTCCTCCATCTCTTCCCAAGAATATGTCAGTCATCCCTGCCTGATCATCAATCTTTTAAAAAAAAACAAAAAAACACAAAAACTTAAGAAGCTAGAATGGTTCTGTGGTCTGCCACCAAGCCCTAATTGATATGGATGAAAAGAGACAAACTGGCAAATACCATCCAAAAGGAAGTTAGTGAAGAGAAATTAATATCAGACAAAGTAGACCTCAGGGCACAAATCTTTATTGGGAATTAAAGAGGTTGCTGCATAATGGTTACAGAAATAACTCATTTGAAGCATTAACCATTCTGAACATGTGTGCACCTGCCTAATGCCAGAGCCTCAAATGTATATCAAACAAAAAAGTAGCAGCAAAAGGAAAAATTAATAAATCAGTAAATTCACCACAATAAATTACACCACCTCTCACTACAATTGGCATCTCAAGCGGACAAAAGTAGTAAGAATATAGGGAAAAAGTGAACACGTTTGATAAATGGGAATTCCAAAACTAAAGACTACACATTCTCATGGAGTTCACCTCGAACATTTACTATAACTCACCATGTCCTGAGCCACAAAACAAATCTCAACAAATACTAAAAGAATTGGTATTGTACAGATCATGTTCCCAAGCTGCAATAGGATAAAATCATAAATTGATAATAAAACTAAGTTCTCCCAAATGTTTTGAAATTTAAATTTACAAATTCAAATTTAAAAATACACTTTCAAATGATTGGTCTAAGAAGAACTATAATGGAAATCTAAAGAGAGGACTGAACAACAACAATGAAAAAACTACATCTAAAAACTAATGGGGCCTGACCGGCGTGGCTCAGCTGTTGAGCATCGACCTAGGATCCAGGAGATCGCTGTTCAGTTCCCAGTCAGGGCACATGCTCGGGTTGCGGGCTCCATCCCCAGCAGGGGGCGTGCGGGAGGCAGCCAATCAATAACTCTCATTATTGATGTTTCTCTCTTTCTCTCCCTCTCCCTTCCTCTCTCTGAAATCAATAAAGATATATTTTTTAAAAAGACGCAAAAACTTATGGGATGTAGTTCAAGCAGCACTTAGGAGGAAATGTATAGCCTTAAAATGAATAAAATGAGGGCCAACTCAGGAAGTTAGAATAAACCTAAAGAAAGTAGAAGGAAGGAAATCACAAAGAGCAGAAATTAATGAAATGGAAAACAGAAAGATCAATAGTGCCCTGGCTAAGGTTGCTCAGTGGTTAGAGCATCGCCCCACACACCAAGGGTCTCGGGTTCGAATCTCAGTCAAGGGCACATACCTGGGTTGCAGGTTTCGATCCCTGGCCCCAGTCCGGCCGCATGCGGGAGGCAACCAATCGATGCCTCAATGTTTTTCTCTCTCTCCCTCTCTCCCCCCCTCTCTCTCTCTCTCCCCACTCCCTCCTTCCCTTCCACTCTCTAAAAATCAATGGAAAAAATATCCTCAGGTGAATATCAACCAAAAAAAAGAAAGATCAATAAAACCAAAAATTGATTCTTTGAAATTAGTAAAATAAGCAAGCCTTTGGCAAGAATGAAAGGGGAGAATATACAAATAAACAATGGGCAGAAGCCCTGGCCAGGTAGCTCAGTTGGTTAGAGCATCATCCCTATATGTCAAGGTTGTGGGTTCCATCTCAGGTCAGGGCACATACAAGAAGC